TCATCTACATTGTGGTGGTCTGGCCCAAAATGGTTGTCCGCCACAGAGAGCCCTGCTAAAGAGAACATTGATAACGATGTTGTACCTGAAGAGTGTCGAATTGAGATGAAGGTCAAGGACCAGAGAGCTTTAGACAAAGAGACACTTTCAACGATGATAGTGCATGGATCGAAAGATTCCATAAGCAATGTTATTAACTGTAAGGACTACAGTAGCCTGGGTCGTTTGCTAAGAGTAACGGCTGTTGTCTTGAAGTTCATCAAGCTACTAAAATCGAGAGTTAAACAGGAAGATCCTCCAACAAACTCGGAAGTTACAAGCACCGACATCGAATTAGCTCGAGTTCTATGGATCAAGGAACTGCAGGAAGAAATGAAGTTGAACGAGAATTTCAAATCCTGGAACCGAGACCTCGGCCTGTTCACTGATGAAAATGGAACCGTACGATGTAAGGGACGACTATCTAACTCGAGCTTGCCATATTCAGCAAAGTATCCAATCCTGTTAGATACGGCTCATTACCTTACCACGCTAATCGTACGGGATTGTCACGAGCGGGTAATGCATGGGGGAATAAAGGCAACATTGACAGAACTTCGATCGAAATTCTGGTTAGTCCGTGGAAGGAACTTTGTAAGAAAGCTCCTCTTCAATTGTGTCACCTGCAAGAAGCAAGATGGTCGAGCATACAAGGCACTTAACTCTCCGCCATTGCCGGAGTTTAGAGTAAAGGAAGCACCACCGTTTACGTACGTTGGCTTAGACTACGTCGGTCCTTTATATGTGAAATCTACGAACGATTTAGACGAGAAAGCATGGATTTGTTTGATTACCGACCCATTACCTGCTGTGTTTCTAGAGTGGTACACCTTGAAGTTGTTCCCAACATGACATCACAAGCCTTCCTGAGGAGTTTTAGGAGATTTACGTCACGACGTTCGACGCCATTGCTTGTCGTTTCGGACAACGCGAAAACCTTTAAGGCTGCGTCCAAAGAGTTAATGACACTCATGCGTGATCCTCAAGTGAAGAAATATTTCTTGCAGCAATGAATGCAGTGGTCGTTTAATCTGGAGAAAGCCCCGTGGTGGGGAGGTTTCTTTGAACGGCTTGTGGGATCATTGAAACGATGTTTGAAGAAAACCATCGGAAATGCAAGATTGTCTTATGACGAGCTAGTTACAGCTGTCACGGAAGCAGAATCGATCCTGAACAGTCGACCCTTATCCTATGTATCCTCCGAGGACGTCGAGGAACCCCTCACCCCAGCCCATCTTCTGAGCGGAAGATGGATCCTGAGTTTACCTGATCGTCATCGAGAGAACCCTGAAGATGAAGATTTTCAAGTCGACCTATCGACGAATGACCTCAACAAACGAGTTCGCTATCTAAATGACATTATTCAACACTTTTGGCGAAGATGGCGGAACGAGTATTTGGTAGAGCTGAGAAATGCACGTTAGATTCCTAAGCAAACAGTAGAGAAATCTTCTGTGGAAGTTGGAGATATAGTACTAGTTCACGACGAGAACCATCCGCGTAGTTTCTGGAGAATTGGAAGAATAAAGGAACTTGTCAATAGCACGGCTGATGGGAAATCGAGAGGTGCAGTTGTACAAGTCATGAGCAAGAAAGGGAATGTTACTACATTAAGGCGTCCATTACAGCTGTTATATCCTATGGAGATTAACTGTAAACTTGCGAAAGAAGAAGTACAATTGGAACAACAAGAGGATGGTGCTCAGGAGTCAACTGAATCCGAAAGACCAAGAAGAAGAGCGGCGATCGAAGGTGAACTGTTGATAAGACATTGGATTAAGGACATGAACCAGGTTTAGGGTAGTTGTAGATATACTGCATAGTGTTAAATAATTAAGAACATTCCAATGAAGCTTCACGAACAGTCGTAAGGTGTTGGCCATATAAGATACATGTCCAACAGGGGGAGTGTGACGTATGCTTTTGTTTTGTTGAAATTATCGTTAGGGTTCGCTGTGGCATAATCAATGATATATGCAAAATGGCGCGTAAAGAAACGTTTTCTGTACGTTGGTGCTTTACCCAACACTATAACGTCTATTACACAGTTTAATGTTTTATTTATAAAGTATTAAAAATCGGTCTCGACAGCTGCATTGTCTTGGTCTTAAAGTAAAATCATTTATACTAAGATGCTTAAAACAATCTATAAACATGAAGCCTTACAAATTAAAACAATTAATAATCAACCTGTATAAACAAAATATCAACATAACTTATGAGTTTAATATGGTGTCTTATATGAACTTACTGCCATGCATTGAAAAACTGTTGATAATTAACTATATGACACAACTAACAATATATTACTTTTTAAATAATTTTCTTTGCGTGTTTGATAAATGTGTTTTGTATACGCGTTAGCTATTTTTAGTAATTCAGTTTCAGGAGTTCTTCTCGAGGGTCGAGGGTGGGAAGTCAAGGGTCGAAAAATTATATATAAAAAGTCGAGGGTCATATATAAAAAGTCCGAGTTTGGGTAATGGTCGAGTGTCGAGGGTCATAGGTCGAGGGTCGAGGGTTATAGGTCGAGGGTCATAGGTCGAGGTTCGAAAGTCGAGGTCGAGGGTCAAAAGTCGAGGGTCGAAAATGGGAAATATTAGTTTTTTATTAAACATTTCTAGAATACTACATTTTTGGCATTTGTTGTCAAAATTTTAAAGGTTCTCCTGATAACGAACTTTATTACTGTTAGTACAGAACATGCCTTAGGGCTTTTTGTTTTTCGAGAAAGTGTAAAATTACTAAAAATATTCGAGAACGTACGGTGCCGGTGGGGTGATTCGAAAATATATTGTATTTATTGAATATTGTACTATCAGAACGAATCGGGTCCCAGCGCAGCAAAAATCTCTCACAATGTCGTGAGATAATTCTGAACCGAACTAAAATCACCCTGTTATAAAGATTCGTGCTTCGTGCATGTTATTTTTGACAGAATAACTAAAGAACGTTTCCATTTTTATATTACATTACAACGTTCTCGCAACTATATTATGAATATGAAACTGTCAATCGAACATGTGCACTTCCGGTGCAGACATGTAAACACGATGTTATAAAATATCAACTGTTTCTCGCACACCCTAACGCTTTAAACCTCCAAAACCATACGCGGTTTTTGAATTACGCGGTCTGAGAATTTCAGAA